AATGGTGCTATAAGCTTTTCCCTTAGACTGAAGTTAGTATTTCAATCGCATTGTAAAGTGAACCCAATATATTTTGAAACATCTGCATATCAGTCCAATATCTACTTTGTTTAAAAATTTAATTTCGGGTGCAATTTCTTATGACTGAACGCTTTTACACTCAGATCGATACGGATCTCTTAATACTTAAGATTGCTTCAATTATGAAGAAATCTTCAATTCAACAGAGAAGCACACATTTATTATTCGTGTTGTAGTCCACAGCGGTGTATAAGGATATATGAGTATATAGATCATCAGGATAGTTGGGACATGTTCATTCTAGATTCTTAAATACGACAATCATACTCCTTTATCAGCTCATAATTCTGGACAATTTCTTAATTTCCATTCAATTTATTTTGGTAACTTCGCAGTAGTTCCTTTCGTTACAATTTTTGTTTGATTTTTTGACAATCCTTATCTAAATCTAAACTGCAACTATACTCGACAAATGTTAGCTCCATTTTTAATATATTATTGTATTATTATTTTTTTTGAAACACAACCGATTGTTCAGGTGCAGTTTTGAGATTTTATATCTTATAGAAGTGTTTTCAAATTTGCTCAGATATTGAAGCGAAATACTTGACTATGCACTGCAAGGTCCGACTGGGTGGGCCGTGTGGTGTGACGTACACGGCCAGGACATGCAGCAGCAGGCAACAGTCAGGACATAACAATAGACAACGGGGCAAAGGAAGAGACAATAGCGCACGAGATGGCGCACATTTGTGGGTGGGTGGTTCGTTGGCTCGGTGGTGAAGAGTGGTTGAAGTTGCTGTTGCTGTTGATGTTGATGTGTGGCTCTTCGTTCGCTAGCTGATTTGTTTGTTGTTTGCATGTAAATTTGATGCGCCATCGTTGTGGCTTCAATTTTTAGATTTTCAAATTTATTTCTTGCCTGCTTTTTTGTTTTGCCTTGTTATTTGTTTAAATGTTTGTGCTGTTGTTGTTGTTGTTGTTTTTTGGCTGCAACCACCGTTATGAGTGGTTGTTTGAATATTCTGTTGCGCCAGCCAGTCAGCCACCCATCCATCCATCCATCCATCCATCCATCTATCCATCCATCAAGCGCAGTCATTGTCAACAATCTGCGCGCGTTGGTTTGATTTGGAGTTGAAAAAACACATTTTTTTTAAACATTTTTTCCAACATGCTGCGTCTTAATGAATTAGTTTATTGGCGTTTTTAAAGCGCAACACATGTACACACAAAATACACACACACACACACACACACACACACACACTTGCGCAGCAGCTTAAGCGCTGCTTAGTTAGTTTCTAGCTTGGAAATTCGTTTGTTGGCGTTTTGAACGCGTTTTGTGGGCGACTTTTATCGCCTCTTCTGATTTGCTGGTCTGGCGTGTGAAAAGAAAAACTTGCGGTATTCTGTCCACACACACACACACAAACACACATGTAAGGAGCATACTTGAGCAGCTTAAGTGCTGCTGTCTGTTAACTGTGGATTTGCCAAATAAATCCGTCAATGAAACCAAAGCACACACACACACCTTCTCTCTCTCTCTCTCCCCCACTCTCGCGCTTGAATAAGTGAATGTGTGTGTGTGTGTATGCACTCACGCGATTGTAATCGCTTTACGTGCGCTTTGGCAACATCATCGTCACCAAATGCTGCCCCACCCCCTCTCGCAAAACAGCTCTTCCCAACAATACACTCTTCTGCTCTCATCGCCTGTCATCGTCATCGTTATCGTCACCAGCACATGTTGCCAACGACAGATGCGACTTGCAAGTGGGTGGCTGTGCGTTTAAGTACGATTGAAAGGTATGGTGCAGGGCTGCCATAATTTTTTCAGCCAAAAAAGCTAGATTGTTATTAAAAAATAAAGCTAAATCCAAGCAAAATAAGCTTTAAAAAATCTGGTTTTAAAAACATTGTTTTCTTGGTTAAATTTGAGGAAATATCTGTTTTAATGTTTTCATATTAATTCTAAATTCTTATTTCATAATTTAAAATACATAATAATAAGAGATTGTTGTAAGAATAATAATAGAAAATTCACATTAAATTCATTTTAATTTTTAATAAACTTTTTAATTCTGTAGTTGATTTATGAGTTCAACTGAACTCATTGTCTCTTCGAAAGGATAATAAACGCGCTTGCTTACTGCTCGCAACTATTTTTGAGGCAGTTTATACTCGAGTATAAAGTAGAATTACTTTTCCTTCTCTACTTACTATTTTTTTTAGCCTGTTAGGTCTATAATGTCTCTGACCACATGTGGCTGTGATTCGGGGCTTAGCTGGCCAAATGGCAAATTAAATTCCCCCAACGGATCGGAGGCATTAATAGACGTTATTGTATTATAGTTTTTTTCTTGGGCTTTCTTATCTTTTAACGTTGTATTATTAAATATATTTATTTTATTTTATAATAATATAATATTATATAAATCCTAGTTTTTGTATATGTATGTTGATTTACTAAATAAAATAAAATAAATTAAAATTTGTTGAAACCGTTTGTTTCCGCCGGAATCACGGTACACGAAGACTTTAAGCCAAAATGTTAGCATATTTTCGATGTTCTGCCAAGTAGCCAACGCTAAATGTCTCTATATTGCCTTTCGACTTATCCAATATTTTAAATATAGTATACATATGGTCAAAAATAAAGTAAAGCTTAAAAAAGGCTAAATCCATTTCTTGTTAAACTATTCCCGCAGCCCGCTGTTTGCGAATTTTGTCTGGCATTTAAAAAAAAATCAGATCTAGCGGGAAAAAAAGCTAAAATGGCAGCACTGGTATGGTGCTATGGCGAGATAGTGGGGAGGGATTCAAACAGTCTATTTGCTTTTATACACTTTATTGAGACAGCCTGTCGACGTGAGTCAATTTGCTCGAAAACTTGTGGCTTGAGAATCACTTTTATTTTGGCTGCACACAAAAAAATGCATGATGTACATTTTCGTAAATCAGTACCCAGTTAGAGAATGTGTATTGAGTCTGCAAACCGACACACAAGCTCTAAGGATGTATATCTAGGATTGGGCTTGGCTCGTCCTAACTCGAAAACAAATACTTAGTAAGTATTACTTACTTAATACTGATTCTAAAGATTTTATTTCAAAAGCGCTGTTCAAATATTTTCTTCGAGTGTTGTCGCTGTCTATATGTGAATGTTTTCTCGCATTTGCAGATAGAATTCTATTAACGCTACCAATTGAGACAATTGGCAATGGGAAGGCAAATAGGAGTATGCAAAGGTAAACACAAGTTGGGACACATTTCTCAATACAATGCTCTACGCAGACTTAACTGAATGTGCGTTGTATATACAGTGAAGACTCTCTTGGCCGGACACTCACGGTCGGCCAAGGGGAGTGTCCGCTTGAATACTTTATACTTGTACACCGATCGAATGTTTTAGAAAAAGTGTCCGGATAAAAGAGCTGTCCATTAACGGAGTTTTCACTGTACATATGTACACCCCCACCCACCACTTGATATAGCTGCTATTGTTGTTTTTGTTGCTAATGTTGCTGATATGCTTCTTCAGCTACTTTTTTATTTGAGTTCTATTTTTTACAACTTCGTCACAGAGATGCCGCTATATGCTTTTTAACCCTAGATGGTTGTTCTTCACTAAGGTTGTTCTTCGTCGAAACGACTACGGCCGATTTGAAATTGTCGCTGTTTGATTCCTAAGTACAAAGTTCTCAGTTTATACATTTTTGTGTCTTGTTTAGTTTATTTTTTATGAAATAAAATTATATTTCAATTCTTTGGACTTTAACATTATAAAAAAATATATATATATATATATATATATATATATATATATAACAACTTGACCAAGTTTCAAAATAGTCTTCATTGTAATCACAAAATTTGGTTACTTAAATCGGACTTCAGTCCAATTTTTTGATTTAATGATATGCATAATACATAAAACTAATAGAAGACTCCAGTTTTATGAGCATTTTTTGTTAATTTGTACACGAGGCACAATCCAGGATACTGCAGATTTGGTCGAGTGTATCGACACCTGCTTTCATTGCATTACATAATTCAATCATATGGGGCAAAAAACGCAACTATGCAAAAAAAAAATACACATTAAAAAATTATCGTCGTCGATTCGACGAAGAACAGCCATCTAGGGTTAAATACAATTTGGATTTGTCAACAAAAAGTCTTCTCAACGACCTGAGATTTGCAATAAGAGTATGTTTGTAATTGCTTCTACAATTTTGGAGCCGACTTAAAGGAAAGCCAGCTTTAGCATTTTTCTGTTATCAGGATAATGATCCTGCTCTGCAATTATAAGCAATTTTCTATGCCCCCAGAATATCCAAGTAATTCGAGGCAAAAACACCCGATAGCCGGAAAGGACATTTTTGTGACTGCTGGGGAAAAAAGGGAAAAAAATATTTCAAATCTGCTGGAAATAAGTACACCTAATTCTGTTTTTACACGGTAGATTGGTTCCTCAAAAAGTCGTGTACAAAAAAAACCATGTAAAAAATGACATTGATCAGAACTGATATGCCAAATGAATCGTGCTAAATGCAATAAAGCCGTGTAACCATATACAAAATTTGAAATTTTCAAATTAAATCAAGACCGTGTAGAAACAGAATTAGTTGTATTCGAACGCATCTACAAGTAAAGGGGGTCTTCATCAATCATCAATCACAAATCGAAAAGACAGCTAGACCTGTCACCGAAAAATACTGAAATTTGTGAAAAATATGTGACCCAGAAGTGGAATTGTTGGTTGGTCCTTCCCCCAAAATAAAAGCCACTCCCCAAATGGAGGAGAGAGAAAGGGAAATGCGCTCTTGCGATTTGCTATTGTTTCGTTCGTTGAACACAAATGAAAGAAATGTAACAACAAATTACATGGTGTTGTAACAATCACAAGATCTCCCTTCACCCGCCGTCCTCTGCCCACCGCCCACCGTCCTCCGTCCTCCGCTCTACTGCACCGCCCGGCGGTAGCGCTGGGCCAGCTTGCGCACCTTATAGACTATATAGATGCAGGCGGCAGTGGTGGAGCCGACCAACAGGACCTTGAAAATGATGGCCGAGGCCGTTTGCTCGGGTGGGGCGGCGCCAATCGCTGTCAGCCTATTGAGAAAGTAGCGGCACTCCGGAGTCGAATCGTCGATGTTGTAGTCCTTGTCCGAACCAAACGGCAGCCACTGTGTGACCGAGGGCAGCAGCGAATTCTTGAAGCAGTGCACATGTTCCGCATTTAAGTTTGCCATGCAGAAGCCAAAGCGAGGCGCCAATCTGCACAAGTACTTCAGTCCGAAACGGTAGGCCCAAGACGCCATGGCACTGGACTTTATGTAGTGTTTGGGTAAAGTAAATTTTTTCTATTTTCGAGAGAAAAAAAATTTATTTTATTTCTCTGGATGTGTTCAGCTCGATGTTTTGTTTGGAATGAGGATTTTTAATAAAGTTCCCCAGCTCCTTTGACAGTTCTGGCCCAAAGCCTACTAGATCGACCGAAATTCAAGAGAAATATATAGAATAGTCGAAAACAAGTACAATTTTAGCAATAAAAAAACCGACTTCAGGTCTAGTGCAGTGAATGCTTCCGTTTTTCGTCATTTAAAGTGACATCATGTTTCGATGATGATACCTGTTCAGGAATAGAATGCACTAAATGAGGCATGTTTAAGGTAGTTTTCTTAGGAATATCATTGTCAAAACTGCACCAAATCGAAATGAAACCATTCGGGAAGCAACAGCTTTCAAATGGACAAAGAAACATCAAAATAAAAAAATACAGACGAATTGATAACCTACTCCTTTTTTAAAGTCGGTTGATAAGCAACAATCCAGAACTAAAACTAAAATTTTACCGCCACCCCACATCACAGCGAAGCCACGCAAAAAAATGGAAAGAAAATAAAAAGAAAAGCAATGTTGAATGTTGCACAAATCCTGTGGACCAATGGCAGGCGCGCGCTTAGACAAGTTTCGTGTTTTAGTTGGCGCTCCTCGTTTGGCGTCGTCGTTTGTTTTTTTTACTCCACCCACTCGTGCGTTCTTTTTTGCTTCTATTTTTCCAAAGCATGCAAAAAGGGGTGGGGCTACCTTATAGCCATACACACTTCATGGAAAATCTTGTTGCCGTAGATTCAAAGCCAGCTGAAACCACTCCTGTATTATTGCACCACCATTTAGATATTTCCTCAGTATTCCTAGTACCTAACATTGGTTAGAACATAAAACGGCGCTATTGTTTTTTAATTTCCAAATGCTAATCTATTATTCTTCACCATTATTTATTACTTAATCTTGCTTATTTAAGCAATTTACGCCACTGATAATTTTGAATTTAAATTTGAATTTGTCTTCATTGATTTGCGCCAGAGGGCGCCATAATCACGGCAATTAATTGGCAGCACTGGCTTGTGGTGATTGAGGTGAGTTGCAGGAAAAAGCAACTGTTATCTGTGTGACCGTATAAAGTATGGGAAAAGAAGAATCGCGTATTTTGTTGCATGCCCATCAAAATTGGAATGGCTGGCCACATTTGCGATTACACCCTTGTACAACTTAGAAAGGAGCGCTCCTTGTAGTTTTTGCTCGAAAAACAAACAAGTTGGCCATGAAGAATGTTTTGATGGTCGCCGAGAAGCCATCGCTGGCCGCCTCCCTAGCTGCGATTCTCTCCAACGGACGTTGCACAGCGAAAAGAGGTAATAAAGCCCGGCATTTGGCCGTAAGGGTTGGGGGGAATTCGCAAGCAAACAAACGCTCAACGAATTTCTACTTTTCTTCAACTTTTTTTTTTCGTTTTTTCATTGACAGGTGGCAGCAGCGGCTGCTCCACGCACGAATGGAACGGACCATTTCGCAATGAAGGCAATGTGCATTTTCGGATGACATCAGTGTGCGGCCATGTGATGTCATTGGATTTCATCAGCAAATACAACTCGTGGGACAAGGTAGATCCCGTCGAGCTGTTCGGCTGTCCCACAGAGAAAAAAGAGACAAATCCTAAGCAGCATATGCGCTCCTTTTTGGCGCACGAGGCCCGCGGCTGCGACTATTTGGTCCTTTGGCTCGATTGTGATAAGGAGGGCGAGAACATATGCTTTGAAGTCATGGATTCTGTGCAGCATGTCATCCACAATGTCTACAGCCACAACGTCACCTACCGAGCTCACTTCTCGGCCATCACCGAGAAGGACATCAAAGGCGCCATGGAGACTTTGGGACATCCCAATGAAAATGAGGCCAAATCTGTCGATGCGCGCCAAGAGCTGGACTTGCGCATCGGTTGTGCCTTCACGCGTTTCCAGACCAAATTCTTTCAGGGTCGCTACGGGGATTTGGACTCCTCGCTCATCTCCTACGGCCCCTGTCAGACGCCCACGTTGGGTTTTTGTGTAAAGAGACATGACGACATACAGACCTTCAAGCCAGAAAGCTTCTGGTATCTGCAGCTGCTCGCTGGCCAGCCCGAATGTACGCTGGAGTGGGCCCGAGGACGTGTATTCAAGAAGGACATCGCTATAATGCTGCTGAATCGCGTCAAGGAGCACAAGGAGGCAACGTAAGCATCCTGTCGATGAAACTATATTTTGGCTTATATTGTACTTTCTCTTTATTGTTTGTTGCCCTCAGTGTTGAAAGCGTGTCCAGCAAGGAGTCATTCAAGAGCAAACCTCAAGCTCTGAATACTGTGGAACTGATGCGTATATGCAGCTCTGGCCTAGGCATTGGACCCTTCCAGGCCATGCAAATTGCAGAGCGTCTCTACACCCAGGGCTACATAAGTTATCCCCGTACAGAGACGAACCAATATCCGGCCAATTTTGATTTGCCTGCGGTGCTACGTGTGCTTCAACCATCGAGGGATTTTGGTGAGGAGGCACGTGCCATAGCCGGAGATCTACAGTCGCCACGCAAGGGCAAAGATGCTGGTGACCATCCCCCTATAACGCCCATGAAATTGGCCTCACATGGCGACTTCGATCGTGATACTTGGCGTGTCTACGAGTTCATCTGTCGCCATTTTATGGGCACCGTGTCACGAGACCTTAAGTATCGGGTAACCACAGCCAAGTTGCGCGTCGGGTTGGAGACATTCGTGTCCACATCCAATGTGCTCATCGATGCCGGCTTCACAAAGGTGATGACCTGGCAGGCTTTTGGACGTGACGAGGCTATCCCACCGTTTGTTCAGGGCACCCAGGTGGCCATAAATGATGTACGTTTGGCTGAAAGCCAGACGGGACCACCCGATTATCTCACCGAGGCGGAGCTGATTACGCTGATGGAGCAGCATGGCATTGGTACCGATGCCTCCATACCGGTGCATATCAATAACATCTGTCAGCGCAATTATGTACGCATTGAGAGTGGACGGAAGCTAATACCAACCACACTGGGCATTGTGTTGGTGCATGGATATCAGAAAATTGATCCTGAACTGGTGCTGCCCACCATGCGATCTGAGGTGGAACGCATGCTGACACTAATTGCCAAGGGATCGGCCGATTTTAATGATGTACTGCGTCATGCCATACAAATCTTTAAGTTAAAATTCATGTATTTTGTAAAGAACATTGCCAATATGGATAGCCTCTTTGAGGTCTCATTTTCTCCGCTCGCCGAGTCCGGCAAGGCGCACTCACGTTGTGGCAAATGCCGTCGCTACATGAAGTACATACAGGTGAGTCGAATATGGAATAAGCTGGGAGGGAATTGTTATCATTATTGTTGCTCTCTTTTCCAGTCCAAGCCGGCACGTCTGCATTGCTCCCATTGCGATGAGACCTACTCGCTGCCCAATGGCAATGTGAAGGTCTATCGTGAGTTCAAATGCCCGCTGGATGATTTCGAGCTGCTGGCCTTCTCGACCGGCGTCAAGGGTCGTTCGTTTCCGTTCTGTCCGTATTGCTACAATCACCCACCATTCAGGGATATGCCCAAAAATGGTGGCTGCAACACTTGCACACATGCCACCTGCCCCCATTCCCTGAACACGCTGGGCATCTCCGGCTGTGTGGAGTGCGAAAACGGTATTCTGGTATTGGATTCCACATTGGCGCCCACCTGGAAGTTGGGCTGCAATCGCTGCGATGTCATCATCAATTGCTTTAAAGGTGCCACCAAAATAACGGTCGAAGGTACGTAGAATATTAATGGCATGACCCCCACAGGCAGGCTATAAATCCGATTATTTCAGATAACAAATGCACCGATTGTGGAGCGCAGCTTGTCAATGTGGTCTACAAATCGGACAAGTCCAAGTTCAAGGATGGCAGTGAGGAGAAGACCGGTTGCCTATTCTGTTCTCATGAATTTCAGCATTTGGTGGAGAAACATCGTGCGGTGGCTTCTCGTCCTGTCCGCAGTGGTGGAGGTGGCCCGCGCGGTGGTAAACCTGGACGTGGTGGCGGCGGAGCAGCTGGAGTGTCTGTGGGCGGCAATGCTGCAGGTGGTGGTGGCAATGCCCGTGGACGTGGTGGTCGACAGCCAAAGGATAAAATGGCTCAACTGGCAGCCTACTTTGTATAAGAACGTGTGAGATAGAGAAAAATGGAGGGAGGGGGGAGCCAATCCAGCTGCATATAAAAAAACAACAGCTGGAAATGGGAAGCATATCGAAACGATTCTTATAAATGCATTTACATTAGAAGCCGGTAACTAAATTAATTTAGTGCGTATATATGTATACATATGTATGTATGAAATGGCAGTAATAAACAGAATTGATGAATACAGAATATATAGTATGTATGTACATATGTACATATGTATGTGCGAATGTATGCATATGATTTCACACTATATAAATGTACATATGTATGTAGGTATGTATGTACATACATGTTTTGTCTATACTGTTATATGAGTGTGTATGTAGATTGGTCAGTTTTGTTGGTAAAATAAACACTCAGCTGATAGGTGCTATTTGCGTACATATGTATGTATGTGTGTATGTATGGTATCTATAATT